ACATCTTTTTAGTCGCTTCCTCCAAGGAGATACTTCTTAATTTCGTCACCTTCCTCTCAATGTTTTTATCACAATCTCTTACAGTGAAATCAGGCTTGTTCTCTATTGCTTTCCCCCCTCTGTCAAGTCCCCAATTGCTTATCTGAGTTAGAAACAACCCAAAAATCTTTACCAGTAGCATCACCGATTGTCCTCTTTGTAAGATTGCTGCCCCTTCTCTTATAAGCCTTCTTGAAATTCTTGGTAGGTCCAGTCCTGACCAAACCACATTTCAGCCAAGAGAAAATTTTGGTAACGTGAACAGTTCCGCATGTTTTTTTGGACTTCACTGAATTGGCCACATCTAAAATATTCTTAGCCTCCCCCCTCCTACCCAAATCTACACCTATCTTTCCAATCACCACCTCCTCGAAGTAACGATGGTCAACCATTGTGCTCTCGGTTAGTGATAGGATACAACGACTCTCACCTACAGTTCCATTACCTTCAAGGCCAACAACACAATTACCTCCTAAATCGGCATCAGCATAACCTCTTACATCCACCTCCTCCAGTCCTCCTTCAAAACATTCTCAGCTTCTATAACACACTCAATCGCATCACTCAAGCCAGTGTTCTAAAAGCGTAAGGGCCAATTTGCTACTGAGGCGCAAGGCAAGGCACATGCCTTTTTGAAGCAAGGCGAAAAATTACAAAAACAAATATGCCAAAAAATCCAAAAAAATTAAAAAAAAATGCCAAAATTTTTAAAAAATATTAAACATAATGTTAATAAAAAATATAAACATAAATTTTAAAATAAATTTTTTAAAAAAACTATTATCTAAAACTAAAATACATAAACATAACATGTAAAGCGTATTCAAATGAAGGAAAAAAAACTAAAAAAAAAAACATTGAGCGCTTGGTTTTTAGTATTGATATGCCCCTGCCAATACATTGGGGCGTATCGATACTTTGAACCTTGTTTGTACCACACCCCTCGAAGTGTGCCTGGTCTGAGGTGCAAGGCACATCAAGCGCACGCCAAGGCGCACCAGGCATGCACCTTTTGAAAGGGGTGCACCTAGGACCTGAGCGAGGCGGATACCCTAAAATGTACCTCGCTTGTGCACCTAGGGACGCCTTTTGTTACAGACTGTATAATTAAAATAGGAAGATGTTACAGACTGTATAATTAAAATAGGAAGTAAATACTAGGGAGATAWGATTTACYTTGATTGTAGGACTGATTTGTAGGAATTTGATTAGTCTTCTTTCCTAATATATTCTTTCCTAACATAGAATTTGTAACTTGTATATATACATACGAAATTGATGAATAATATAACAAATTCTTCTTCTTCCTCTGTTTACTCTTGTTTTACACCTTTCAAATCACTGACTCAGACCGACCTTCATTGTAGGGTTAAAATCCAAAGGCAACTTACCATCGAGCGCCTTTTACGCCGCAGCTTCCACAACCTCCATAGGGTCGCCCTTTTTCCAAACACCGCCAACAAGATCTTCCACGCTTATGTTAGGACTTCGCTCCGCATTACAATAATCAGAAACCTTGGCAAGATTCACATTACTCTTCTTCTTCCACTGTATCACCCCTCTTGCCACTTATTCAAAGCTTATCCCAATGTTTTAAAAGCACAAGGCGCAAGGGGAAATTTGTGCCTGAGGTGTTCCTTATACGAAGCTTATCCCAGTGTTTTAAAAGTGCAAGGCACAAGTGGAAATTTGCGCCCGAGGTGCAAGGCACAAGGCGAGGCACATGCCTTTTTGAAGCAAGGTGTAAAAATACAAAAGGAAATGCTAAAAATAAAAAGAAATGTTAAAAATTCAAAAAATGCCAAAGATTCAAAAAATATGCAAAAAAAATCAAGAAATATTAAACATAATATTAATAAAAAATATAAAGTTAAATTTTAAAATAAATGTTTTAAAAAACCTATTATCTAAAATTAAAATACATAAACATAACATGTAAAGCATATCCAAATGAAAATTTAAAAATAAAATCAAACATGTAAAAACTTTTAAGCAGGTAAAACCCACAATCTCTTTTTTCCTCAATGTAAAACATATTACATTGCACCAAGTGTGCACCCTTTGAAAGGGCTGAAAATAGGACCTAGGTGAGGCACATACCCTAAAATGTGCCTCACTTGTGCTCCTAGGCACACTTGCACCGTGCCTTTTAAATCATTGGCTTATCCTCCACCTGAATTAATTGAACCCTTCCTACTACCAACCTTTGAACATTTGAACTTCACTACATGCTTTCTATTGATCTTTAACTTGAGCAGGACGAAATTCTTCCTTTTGCCACTCCATTCTCATCGGAAGACACCCATTCTATGCACAATGAAAGAGACCTTTCAACTCCCTCATCAGACCCTTTTTCTTTTTCCTCTTGGTCTGCAACATGTCCCTCATCCATTATCCTTCATGAGTCATTAATAGTTAATAAATCGCGTGTGTAGCTAGCCCTTGCCTTTTCTTTCGATTGGGCTTCACTTCTTCACCCTTTCTCAGAACCTTCCCCAACTTTCCCCTCTTTACCTTCTAAAGTTTCAAGAGCCAAAAACACTCAAGTCGACCCAGCTATCATCATTTAATTCTTTTTATTCCCAGATCACCCTTGTCTTCAACCTCCTGCCTTTCCTCTGCTACTAGCCTCTTCAGCTTCTTGTTTGAACCATCCAAAGACTAAGAACCACCCCCCCCCCTCCTTCCTAGAGAAAAAATCACCCCACCAACCACCAGGGTGCATTCCTTCTACCACCACTCTTAAGTCAAAGAATTCGCCATCAAATATCACAGCAGCAAAGAAACTGGAACAAGATGAATTTCCTTCACATCAATTAAAATCCACGCACAAACTAAGTTCTTCCACTCAATGGTTCTTGAATCTACAAACCTGAACTTCATGCGTACGTCCTCAACATCTCTAAATGTTTGGAAGCACCAAGCATGTATAGGAATTTTTTTTTGAGAAAAGCTAACCAAGATTCATTGATAAAAAAGAGGTACATGGGAAGATGTACAAAGCAGGGGAAGAACCCCTATAAATTACAAAGGAGGAAGCTTGTCACTATAAAGTTACTGTATGATTGTATTCCCTTGGAATCCAAACTAACTTTACATTTAGGCAGTCCAAATAGTCACTGGCCTCTTCAAGATAGTGACTTAATCTCCAAGGCCCTCCCTCCTTGTCTCTTAAGAACATCTTTGGCATTCCCATGTACCTCTTTTTTTGAGAAAAGTCACTATAGGAATGCCAAAGACGTTTATCCAGACAAAGATCGACAACCCCATGTTCCTCAGTGATCCAACTAGGGGGTTCCATCTCCCCAACATTAAATCTGGAAAACTAATTTTGTTCACGATCAGGGATGTCAAGAGCTTATTTCTCACTGCTGAAGGTGAAAAGAAAGAACCCTGCGTTAAGTCTCCTCAGCAATTATCTAACAGCTGGTTCAGAATTAACAAAAACTTCCTCTAGAATTAACAAAACACCCAACCAGCAATTATCTAACAGCTTTAAGTCTACCAAAACTTCCTCCAGTCGAGCTAACGAGAACCTCTTTCATTCTAACCTAGAAACAGAGCATCCTCTATTTCTAGCTTGGGTAATCCAGGGTTCTGGAATGGGGGGCGCTCTGAGAAATGAGATTGGAGAAGCTGTTCTGCTCTACCTGGGTCTGTTCGGATTCAGAGATTCTGTTAGGGCAGAGTTATTAGCTGCTGTACGAGGGGTGGTGCATTACAATTGGGGGTAGAGCAGCTAACCATTGAAGGGGATTCAAAGGTGGGGCGGGTTGGTTGAAAAACCCGAAGGATACTATATGGTGCTACAAAAATGAAATTAAGAAATTCAATTGGCTGATATATTAGCCAAGCAAGGGGTAAACAGGGAAGCACTGTTTTGGGCCCATCTGTGATTCTTTCAATTTATTCCTAGCTAATTTGTAACTTGTAAGCTATAGGGAGAGGCTGCAGCTCGCACCTTTCCATGGGATGTCGCATGAAATTACAATTCTAAATCAGGTTCTGAATTAATAAAATTTCACTATTACTTAACAAAACAAAAGGAGACTTGCTGGAAGTTGCACCCTCATCTCTTTCCAGCTCAATTCAAGAACAAGACTGGGAATGCAAATGTAGCAGCAATAACTGAAGGTGACAAGAGATCAACTATGAAGCAGTTAGCAACGACGAAAGCAGAGGTTGGGAAGTATTGTCAGCTAATAAATCACTTGGAGACTGCAACGACAGCTTCCAAAATTATTTATAGAATATAAATTTGTCAACTCTTCATTGTGAGTCATGTCAACTTTCAAAGCATTGTACCTGTTATTCCTTATGTAATAAAAGATTTCAATTTCCTTTTAGCGTTATGCATTTTTCTTGAAATGGGTGGTTACAGATATTTTATAATACTTGTGGATGATTTTTCCAACTAATCATGGATTTATTTGCTTTATGAGGTTCCTAAAGTTGTGCAACAGTTTCATGAGTTTATCCTTGGTTTTGTTCCATGGTTTCATGAGTTTATACCAACACACTTATTTGTGAACTACATTAAAAGAAAATTACACTTTTATGACTTAACTTCCCTATTCCTTCTAGCCAGAAGGCAAAATATAACAGCCCCTATTATAGTGTACTTTGTTTAGTATTACTATCCAAAAGCTAAGATCCAGTTTTCTCAATTGAAAGAAAATAACCAAATATCAGACAAGGTGATTCAAGGCAGATAACTAAGGCAGTATAAAACATACTTATTTGTGAACTACATTAAAAGACAAATACACTTTGCTGCTACTCATCCCAAACCAATCAGATATTACCAAATACTAATCAGTGACCAGAACTTAGCAATTACCAGTTACAGTAAACCTCCTGGAGAATTAAACTTAGCAATTACCAAAAAAAATGAATAATAAAAAAGAGATAATGAATTTGTTCTAGAATTTAAAATAACCCAAGACCTGCAACAATTTGCCTTCACATTGAAATTGTGAAAATACCATTATATCTCAAAAATAAGTAGATCTAAGTTTATTGACCAAAAAAAAAAAGTAGATCTAAGTTTAATTTCACAAATTGTTTGAGAAATGAATGAAAGAATTGGGCATGCTGTGTTTTTCCAGTGTCTGTCATAGTAAACAATAATAACACTTCTTTTAAGGTTAAGATCATCAAGATGGGCTTAAGTTCAAATGAGATCCTTTTACACCCTTCTGATAACATGAACAAACCAATAATGGATCACGGAATAACCTGAGGCGATTTAGCCGTCTTGAACTTATAGAAAGAGTCCCCAATGACTGAAACAAGGATATTATAACACTTGTATGATATCTCAGATTGCTTAACATCTCAGCTCGTCCTAAAGTTGATGAATCAGGTCTGAGATTGCCAGCAAAGAAGGGCTCAATAATCAGAACTACAGCTACTGTTGCACCAAGATACTTCAACAGGAAATCTTGAATCATGCCAAACCACCAATGGTCATGAAGAACACGCTTCATGTGCCTAACAAGAGTCTTGAACTTCTGTTGAATATGAGATTCTTCCCTATTCTCTCCTCCATAAAATGCTATGCTCTCTGCATGTGTCCTCAACCGTGAATGAAGTTGTCGATACTCACCTTCCAGTTGCTGCTCTTTGGACATAAGTTTTCCAAATGCAGGAGAGAAATTTCCAATCATAGCTCCTGCCCCTGTTACATAAGCCTGAACAGGAAAGAGAGCATGATACCAAACTAAAATGTCATATGGGTGCAATAAAAAATTACTAAATTATCAAAAAAAATTTATAATAATAAAAGAAAAAAAATGAACCCAGCATCCTAAAGTGAGAAAATGGATCTAAACATCTAAGCAATAAGAATTACTGGATTCATGGAGGAATAAGTACCAGTATCCAGAAAACATATTTTGAGCTTGCATAAGAACACAGACGCCAAGTATAGAGCAAGCCATCAGTAACTGCTATAAGATCCTCTTGTATGAGGTCACTCAACTCTGAACAGAACCTTGGTATATCACTTGCTATTCGCTGTTCAGGATTTGTAATTCGACCATCAACATGTGAAATTTTGTAGTACGCCATATTCTGAAATACAAAGACAAACTATAAGCTATTTATCAAGAACCAACCATAAAACATTTCAGACTATTTAACACAAAATTATGGATGGTGCCATATCTCAACTTATTTAGCAATGTCCTACAGAATTGAGAAATAAAAAGAAAATTAATAGACAAAACAACCCAGTTGTGGTCCATATCAAAGTGAGAGACCTTTTCATCCAGAAAACTCAGTGGATCTGGGAAAGAATCCTGTATAAAAAATTCAAATTAGGGGACAAAGTTTAGATAAATGGGGTGCAAATAATTGATGTTGGGAAAGAAAGCCCATGAAGAATTAACATGCACAGTGCTTAGAAAAAGATTGGGTGCTTTTCTTGCAAAGTGATGTTCAAATCAAGGAATTTTTTGTATCAATAACAAGATGAGTAGCGTTTTTTTGTATCAATATGCAACTAGCTTTTGTATATTCAGTTCCTTGGTCTTTCCTATACCATCCAGTACAGCATAGACCTCAGGACAAGCAGAAGAACAAGCAGGAACAGAATATCCCACCTCCATCCAGTTGTTCAGCAACATACCCGTAGAAACATCATCAAATAGGTCCAAAGGTTTTAACCAATGCACCACCCTAACTGTTATTACTTCAATAATACCTTCTTTATTTCTTTCACTTTCAGAAAATGTTCTAGAGTTCCTTTAATCCCATAGAGCCCAGCAAATAGCAGCCCTCACACACCTCCGCATAATCCTTCCCCTTTTCTTTGGCCACCTGAGGAAAGAAGAGCTAAACAAGCTTTGAATATCTTTGCAGCGGAATCCACCTGCAACTAAATAGAGAAAGATACTAGTCCCAAATACCAGCAGCAAAGGGGAAAGAAATTAATAAGTGGTAAGAGCTTTAACCATTAGACTTGCAAAGAACGCACCAATTTGGAGACAAGCACGAAAAAAGCCTTTTTCTTTGGAGTAAGTCACAAGTATTACATCTCTCCAAGAAGGCTTCCCAACAAAAAGCTCAAATCCTTGGAGGAATCAGCTCACCCAAAACCTCCATCAGCCCTACTTTTAGAGACCATTTCCCAATTCACCTTGTGATCCTTCCTCTCCTCCCCTAGTTCCCACAAGAAGTCCCTCATCAACTTTTCCAAAACGCTACTTATCTTAACCAGGATCCTAAAAACTAATAAGTAATACACTGGCAAGCTAGCCAATGTAGGTGATCCTGCCTACTATTCCTAATCAAGGTGATTCTGCCACCCAGAGATAAGTAATTCTTCTTCCAAAAGGCTAATTTCTTAGTGAACCTATAAATTACAAGGCACCAAAACCTACCTTTCCTCGGATTATCCCCTAGAGGCATCCCCAAATAATTCATAGGCCATTGAGACACCACACATCCCAAAGCTTCAGACCTCTCCATTATAGCTCTCTCCTCCATATTGATCCCCACCACAAAGCACTTCTCAAAATTCACCTTCATCTTTAACATTTTTTCAAACAATTGAATCACCAACTTCATATTTCTGGCCCACCTCACATCCTCCCCTTCACAAAATAGAATTGTATCATCAGCAAACTACAAGTGGGTGATAGGAATATTATCTTTTCCAACACTCCACCCCCTCACAAGACTTCTAGAATCTACTCTCTCAATTAACCTCCCCAAAACTTCTACAATCAAGGTAAAAAGGAAAGGAGAGAGGGGGTCCCCTTGTCTAACTCCCCTAATAACTAGGAAGTGATCCATTATAGTTCCATTCATCAAGATGGAATAATGTGAAGTCTCAATACAACCCAAAATCCATTTACACCATTTCTCCCCAAAGCCAAAACAATCCATCACGTGCATTAAAAAAGATCAACCATGTCATAAGCCTTTTATAAGTTCAACTTGCACATAATCCCTTTTTTTCTTGTTCTCCTCAGACTTCCACACACTCATTGGCAATTAAAATTTGATCCACAATTTGTTTGTTTCCCACAAATGCCCTTGATTCTATAATATTAAATCCAGAAGCACCTCTCTAAATCTTTTAGACATGACCTTAGCAATAATTTTATACAGACTATTAACCAAACTAATAGGCCTACAGACTCTTGGGTGACTTGCTCCAACTTTCTTTGGGACCAAAACAATAAAAGTTGAGTTCAGCCCCGGAATTATCGCCCCCTTCTAGAAAAATTCATTGAAAATTTTAATGATATCCTGCTTTAGTATCTCCCAACAGTCTTGGTAAAAAGCCAATAGTAAATCCATCCAGTCCTGGAGCTTTCAAGCCACTTCTTAGTCTCCTCAGACAATTTTGGCCAATCCAAACCTTCTATCCAGATTCTCTGGTTTAAGGGCCTTCTAAATATAGACTTAAAGTGCTCCACAAAGGCCCTAGAAATCTCATCTTGCCAAGTAATAGACACCCCATCATCCTCCAACTTAGAAATCAAACTTTTTATCCTCCAACAGCAATCATTTCACTTTTTGTTAGGTTTACCATTAGGCCTGATACTATCTCAAACCAGAACAGAAGATGTTTCAGGTTAATGATTTGGTCCTCTAAAGCACTGCAGAAAAAGAGTGTGACATCTGCATATTGCAGAATGGGAATTTTTGTGCCATTAGTTCTCACTTCAAAACCCTCCAACATCTCTAGCTCTGCATCCCTATCAACCATTTTACCAAGACCTTCCATTACTAATAGAAATAGCAGCGGTGACAAGGGATCCCCTTACCTCAAACCTCTCAAACAGTTCAAGTTACCTCTTGCTGAACCATTAATTAGGACAGAGAATCTCGGGGTAGTTATGCAGACTTTCATCCAACTTCTCCACTTAGAGCCAAAGTGCATTCTCATCAACAAATAATCCAAAAAGGCACAGTTGACATGGTCATAAGCCTTTCTGTATGTCTATTTTACAGACCAGCCCACTCCTCCCACTTCTTGAATCAATCAACTCATTGGCTATGAGAACAACATCGTGAATATGCTTGTTATTAACAAAGGCACCTTGATACTTAGAGATTAGTGTATCCATCACCTCTTAGTCTGGTACCCAGAATTTTGGCCAAAATTTTGTAAACACTGCTGATCAAACTGATTGGCCTAAAATCCTTCAGTTCAGCTCCTCCACTCTTCTTAGGAATTAAGGCTATAAAAGGTGCGCTCAAACTTCTTTCCAGAGAAGTGGACACGTGAAACTCCTCCAGCACCTTCATCAAGTCAGCTTTAATTAACTCCCAAAATTTATTAAAGAATAGCATCGTAAAACCATCCATACCCGGAAGGATTTCTCTAAGTCCGAGGCTTGCTGCTCTGTGAGAAAGCTGAACACCAAGCCATCCAGTTTTGGTCTTCGTTTGCAAGGTTCACTGAAAAGATCTTTGAAGAAACTAACAGATGAGTTTGCTATGTCTTTTTCTTGTTCCACAGTTTGCCCACCAACTTCCAGCTTCTTTACCTAGTTAACTCCTCTTCTTGCATTAGCTACTTTGTGAAAGAAAGCTGTGTTCTTATCACCAGCTTTCAGCCACGTAGGTCTTGATCTTTGTCTCCATTTTACTTCATTCTGGTACGTTAGAGAGTCAAAAACTTTCTTTACTGCACTCCTTTTTCTTTTTTCCTCCTCACCCAATACCTTTCCTTCTTCCTCTGCATCAATATCAGCTATTACTTTCAAACATTCTTTTGTTTTTTCCTCATCCAATCTTGCCCTTTCCTGCTGCCAGGATTTAAATTTTCTTTTCAGTCATTGCAGTTTTTTAAAAAATATATGGTTTGCTGAACCTGTGAAAGAAGCTTCAGCCCACCACTGCTGAACAATTGTTGCCAGCTCTTCTGATTCCAGCCGACATTGCTCCAGTCTGAAAGGTTGATGATTCTTTTTTAGCCCCCCTGTATCTAATAGGAGAGGAACATGATCAGAAACTGCTCTTGGTAAGGCTTCCTGACTATAATTGGGGAAAGCTTCTTCCCTTTCAGAAGAAATCAGAAACCTGTCCAATCTGACTAGAGAATATTCTTCCTGGTTATTAGTCCAAGTATACTTTGCTCCGGAAAGCGGTAAATTTATCAGACCCCATCTCTGAATGAACTCCAAAAAGTTTCATGCTCCTGCTACTTCTATGACAGCCTTTTTTGTCTTCTGGACATACAGTGGCATTGAAATCTCCCCCTAACACCTAAGGTCCTTCCCAAATCTCTCTGACACGATCTAATTCTTCCCACAATTCTTCCTTCAAACTAGAATCTACTGCCCACACACCCGTCACTGTAAACAGCATATTGTTTGCCTCCCAAACAAATTTCGCAGAAATAGAAAAAGCCCCAACTTGCTTATCTATCAACTTGAAAGAACTATAGTTCCAGATTAGTGCAACCCCTCCAGCAGTGTTAACTGCTGGGATTTCAATCCAATCACAAGGTTCAAAACCCCAAATACTTGTCACCACTTTGAAGGAGTTTAGTTTCCTGAAGAAAAGGAAAATCAGGTTTCCATTCCTTTAAAAAAACCCCAATTACTAATCTTCTTCTGCCTGAACCGAGGCCTCGGACATACCACAAAATTAATTTTAGTTTTTCCATATGCTAGTTTCTTGGAGATTTATTGCTTCTCTCGCACTTCCAGCACAGTCATTTAAACCCCAAGCAAGCTTCAGTAACTCTTTCGATTGTCTCCTATTTTTCTTCCCCTTTTCCATCAAAAATCTGTTTTCAATGACCACCAGTAAGGCTTTTGTTTCTTCTTCAAGCCCTTTGAAAGAGACCCCCAAAAACACCCCAAAATCGAGAAACTTATACATGACCCAATTGGAAATTTCATTATCATCTAAATACCTCAGATTTACCTGTTGTGGCTGTGTCCGCTGAGGTTTATTGTCTGGCAGAACTACTGCTAAAGGTTCTGGCACTGTCTGCAATTGGGCTTGCGCCAAGGGAGGAAAATCTTCCTTCTTGCCAAAGTCAGAAGTTACTGCAACGTATAATGTCAGCCCCCCTGCCTTTCTGTTCCCGTCGAAGAGCTTGTAACTGAAACTTCTAGGTGTCTTACCTTTTCCATATTAGCCGACAATGGTGCAGCTTCCTTGGGTGAACCCGGTGAAAGAGTTGCCACAGCTTCTACTTCCTTTCCTCCTAACCCACTCTCTTTTGGAGGCTGTGAACGAGCCCTTAATCCGTCTCTCGAGTGACCTGAGAGAGAAAACTCTTCCTCGACTTGATACTCTTCCTACCTCTCACTATCCCATTAGTCGTCTTCGCTCCAAATATCAAGGTAGCTTGATCGTTCTCCTCCGATTGAAGCTTCGAACACAGAAGAAGAGGAGGTCGAATCTTCAAACAGGGCTTTGCCATTGTCTTTGCCCTCTACCTGCTGATACTTGAAACTAGGGTGTTTATCCTTAACAGGGCTTTGGATGCGTAATGTGCCCGGATCCCTATGGGCTTGATGTGATTCTTTTCTCTTTTTAAGAAAGAAAGTCGGGGGCCTTTAAGGCCCACAAACAACTCTTTTGTTCGTTTTTTAAGGCAGCCCACCACCGTCTCAACTAATTTGTCCACTACTTCCACATCATCCAAGTCCAGCTAAGAGAAATTTGAAATTTGAAAAATCCCAACCTCTGCCTCCCTTTGTCAGATACAATTTCACCCTAGCCATTCAATTTCTTTTGAAATATACATTTCTGAATTCGTCTTCTACCTTTCCTCCTTTTGACTAGCTCCCATCCCCCTTCATCCTCACTTCTAGTGATCGAGGTTAACTCTTGCACGTCATCCTTTTGGTCATTAGAAGTAGCCCCCATGTCCCGCTCCTTCTTTGAAGCCTCCACCAAAGGTCTATCTAACGTCCTCTTCACTAGTCTAACCTACTAACAACTTTTGTATTAGGTCAAGACCTATTGGGACCGCTGCTTTGAAGTCTGATGGGGTTTTCATTTATTCTGCTTTTATCTCTAGTCAGATGGTCACTTCAAACATCTCCTTCCCAACTACCGCATTTACCGTCTGATGGGGTTTTCATTTTTAATCTGATGCATTCAAAAGACTCTCTATAAGCTCTAGAGTCATCTAATTCCAAAAAACCTCCGCAAAGATCTCCTATTTTTTGGACGACTTCAATACTCCACAATTATAGTGGCAATCCGAAGATCCTTACCCAAATGTAACCCCCAATGTCTTCCTCCTTCTGCCAAGTTCCGATAGACTCTATCCAAGGTTCTAAATGGAGCAGGGCTCCTTTACAGCACCTCGCACCAGTGTTAAGTATTTTCCGAGCATCTTCCTTTGAGGGCAGGAAGAACAGCCACTTTTCACCATCAAGGCACCTCACATCAACCCCCTACAGACACTTCCACACTTTGGATGTCCAGACTTGGACTTCGTCCACCTCAAAACCCTTTCAATCGAAGGTTCCTATCAAACAAGTTTGTAGGAAGCTCAATCTCTCCTTTACGCTCTTGTTGTCTACTTCCAAAAAGATAGAGTTGCGATTTGCCTTCACGCAAATTCCTCCACTTGTCATCCACTGAAGAAAGATCCGAAAATCCCCCTTGCCTCTACGTAAGCCTCAGCTTCCGAAAACCTCGAGACCTCTGAAAGTTGTTAGGACGTCTATGGGGTCTCCGGTTGCCATTGGTCAAAATTGTCTTCTATCATCGGTCGCAAGCACCGACGAAAGAGGGCGTTGGTTGTTGTTGATCGACGGCCATGTCGACAACCATGTCGAATGTGTAGTTGAAGCTTAACCCCACTAGAAGAAGTTTGGTTTAATTCATTTTGTTATCCTTAAAAAAGTATAATCAGAAATACTATCTTTGAAAACAGTATGTATAGACATCCAACTTTTCAAAACCTCTATTGCCAAGTTAATGACCTCGGCTTCAGAAGAAGATTTTTTTTTCAAAAATCCTATTGTTCCTTTCTGACCACACAGCCCACAGCATTGCCAAAGGGATGGAATTCCAGCATAACTTTCCTTTTTTAGATAGTCCCTAAATATGTCATTCCTCTAACAGAGCTCTAACTAAGGCTGGCATACACCACTTGTGCCTTCTTTTTCAAAAACCTAATTCTATCTAATTCCTCAGGATAAACTTCCCAGTGAAAGAGATTTGGAGTAAGCCTATTCCACCTAAGATTCAAGCTTTCTATTGGGAAATTTCCTTGGAAAGATAAATACTTGTGATATGTTGCAGAGAAGAATGGATGATTTTTGCCTAACTCCTCATACATGCTTTCTATGCAAGGCTGGTGGTGAAACCTTATCCAATTTATTAATCTCCTACTCTTTTGTGCATTGTACCCACAAGTCATTCCGTTCATTGTTTGGTTGCTAATGGGATCCCCCACAAGACATGGTTGGTATTTTCAATCCTAATTTCTTGAGGCAACAAAAGAAAAGAGGAAGGATACTGTGGAGAGCAGTAAAGGCAGCAGTGGTTTGGGTAGTATAGGAAGAGAGAAATGGGAGAATCTTCAATGGGAAAAGTAGATCAATGGAGGAGGTAATAGACAACATAAAGATAAAGGTTGCGCATTGGGTAAAAACGATAAAAAGCTTTCAGGTCTTCTCTATGAGTGAAATAATAAGAACTTGGATGGAGGTGGCACGTTCTTCTAGAAATGATAAGGATGGATTAGAAACCTCTAGAAGGTAACAAAGTAAAACTAACTTTGATGGAAGCTCGATGGGCAAT